ATTATTTAAAAAAACCTCCACCGCCTCTTATGGTTTAAGGTAAAGTATTGGATAAGATAATTATTTTATCTTATTAGTTTTGGTGGAGGAAAAAAAAGTAAGCTTTTTTCTGTATGTGTTCTCTTGTGTGTAAGTAAACAAGCCTGTAAGGGAAAGAAGAAGCTAATTCTGTGATTTCTACTTGAATTTGTTGTTGTGATTAATTCATCTTCATCTACGTAAACAGGTGAGTTTAAATTCATCAACTTTCCTTATTTGGTATTTGAAATTTGAATCGTATGGTTCTTACGTGGGGATGATGATAAAACTGTTTTTGGATGCTATTTTTAGCATGGCTTTAAGTTTTGATATGTTCATATCATGTGTGACAATAAAAATGACATATCAAGGAGAGTTGTATACTGGGATAAGAGTGACATATCAATGAGAGGTGTATACCATGATATGAGTGACATAATCATAAAATCGTAAAATTTGGGTTTTTGATGAGAAGTTGTTATTATCGCATCCTTATGATGCGAGGACCTTGAGTTATCGCACCTGTCTGATGCGAAGACTTGGGGTTGTCGCATCTCATTGATACGATAAGTTGGGGTTTTGATAAAGTGAACAGTTGTTGAGAAACTAGAGAGGCTCTGGTTGGTCTTCATGTTTAACCAGAGGGCCTCTATTTTGTATTTGAAATCCAAGTTCTTTTCATGTGTTTAACCATTTTTTGTCCCCAGAGCTCTGGTCAGACGAACCAGAGGCTCTGGTCATCCAAAGGGCCTCTGGTTGGCTTTGCCTCTAGATTGACTTTACTTCTGATTGATAAGACCAGAAGCTCTGGTTGGCCAAAGGGGCTCTAGTCGTCCAGAGGGCCTCTTGTTGTCCTTGCTTTTGGTTAGCTTTGCCTCTAGTTAGTAAGACCAGAAAAGCTCTGGTTGGTCTTGCCTCTAGACTCTGGTCCTTAAGAACCAAAAGGGCTCTGGTTGGTCATGCCACTGGCTCTGAATGATGTGATGAGTTGAGGTTCTCGCACCAGCGTGTTGCGAGGACTTGAGTTTGTCTCATCAATGTGATGCGAGAATATGGTATAAATTACTACATGATGCGATAACCTTTATCAATGGGTATTTGAATGTGATAAATGAGATTTGTTTTTATCAAAGTGATGTATATTGTTATTATTACAAATATGGGTTTATAAACATGATTTGGTGATTTTCACCCTGTAATTGCATCAAATAGATTTCTCACTAAATCTCAAGGTCCAACCTCATTTTGTGTTTAAAAAATGTGCATTATAAATCGGACCCAATTAGAGAACAAGGGGAAGAAAAAATTATGAAGTGTTATATTATGCTTACACGGAATTTTGAGGTTAGCATAATCTTCTTTTATATCTGAATGCTTGATATGTATTCATACGTTGTTTAGTTAATTTGTGGAAAAAATTGTTAGCTATTTTGTAATATAGCTTTTGTACATTTGGGACCGAATATATAAATTTGTATTTCTTGATATTTGAAATACATGGTTATATGCAAATATGGATATTTGGGTGTTACACGAAGTATATTTTATTTTTAATTAATATTAAATTTAATCAGTAATCCCTTTTAAATCTTTTTTTACATTTTAAATTTGAAAAATCACTGACGGAAAATATTTTATTTTTAATTAACATAAATTTCATCAATAATCTTTTTTAAATGTAAGTATTTTTTTGTAAATGTAAGTATTTTTTTGGTATATTTATTTCATTTATAGATGTAAGTACTTTTTTGGTTAAAAAATGTTTAGAGACTTAATCATTCAAAATATGAAAGTTTATTGGTTTTTTTTTCCAAACTTTTTCCATTATTTTACCATATTAACCAGTTGTACAGGTCATAAGGTTGTCTCTAACATGTTTTAAAAAAGTCGAAAAAGTTATTTAACAGATTTTGAAATATTCAAGATCTTAATAATTTCAAACACTAAAGTTTATTATGTTTTTTAGACTTTTTCCTAAACATAAGGGTGGAACAAACGACCATGGTAGAGCTCAAGCATATGGGACACTTTTACTCGAAGACATTTTCATGAATCATGATTGAGTTTAATTAATTTTCCTTTTGTTTATCTTAAATATTAATTACCATCACAATATAACTTAACATAGTTTTAACTATTTGAATTTTACAAAAGATCACTAATTATAATAACACGGTCATTGCCACTTATAGTTGTTTTTTATTAACCTAGATATCTAACCTGTTGTGCGAGCCAACTAATCTCAGAGCGATCACCTATTTTGCGGGTAGTGCAGAGTCACCGTATTTGAACCTAAGTGATGGTATCTTATTTAAAAGAATTGGAATTTTTTCGATTAAAATCAATATAATTATTTTATTGTAAATATGTAATAATTAATATTGGTGCAGTTGGAAATTAAGTAGCTGTATTAATGAGCATGGGATTTAATACTACAATAATCTCATAAATGAACATCGAACCAATGGCATTTATTATATAAATTTAATTCGATCTCTAATTAGTTATATATTATATTAATTAATTTTTAATATATTTAATTAATTAAAATTCAGGGTTCTTGATAGATCATGAACCCTTTGTGGCCCTGTCGGTTTGGTTTGAAAAATTATCAGACCGTCCGGTCCGGTTTGATCTGCGGTTTGAACGTTTTTTCGAGTGATTGAACTGAATCCACCGTGAAAAAAATACACATATATTAGTTATATTTAGTTTTCATGTTATAGATTCAACTTTAATCATATCGCACAATTAAAAAAAGTTCATCGAAGAAATTATGTTTCTAGTTTTCATTTCTCTATTGACTGCGTTTATCTAAATTGACAAAATTCTGAAGTCTGTCAAAAATCAAATACAAATTCCAAATTGTTTTTCGATTTGCTCAACAATTGTCCAAAATTCCAATTATTGTTAGTGGATTTGTTTAACATTTTTCTACTTGCTCAATGTTTTTTTAGTTATAGAGATGGATGTATTTGTTTAACATTTCATTTTGAATATAGATATTATGTTTTTCTATGAGGCCCAAACCGTCTAAATCAGTCGGAACATACCGCCTTTTCATGGTCTGATTTAACTGATTTTGTCACTTGCTGTCAAACAATTCGGTTTGAAAAGTTTCCTAAACCATCATTGTGGTTTGCTTTTTGGTTTGAAAGGTTAAACCGTCCAAACCGGACCACAAACACCCGAGTACGGAGGATTCTTGAGTTCCCGTGTTGCGTGTGTAACTGATCAAAAATAATTAATTATTGATTTAATAAATAAATTAGTAATTTAAATCATAATTAATGAATTTTTTGCAGCAATGATTTTCGTGATTATGCTGAGCTATATTTAGAAGATTTGGTGATTGGGTCAAGTTCTGGATCACCCTAAACGAACCATGGAGTTACAGTGTCGGAGGTTATGAAAAAGGCTATAGTTACAGTGTCAGAGGTTATGAACCATGGAGTTACAGAGTTATTATTGGTTTTAAATTTGATTAATGTATAATACAAACAAAAATTATAATCACTATAGACTAATTATTATTATTATTTATTAATTAAAAACCAAAAAAAGTAAAAGAGAGACGGGGAATGAGAGAGATATATATGGAATAATATCAATTTTTAAACTTTTAGGTCATTTAATATTATTTAGTAGGTCTTTTTTAACCTTTTTTAATAGGTAGGGGATGCAACTTCTTCACTATAATTCCAACGACCCTGCACACGCTCTTCTTTGAAATCAACAACTGCCCCTTTATCTCTCGCTCCCGATCTCGAAAGAATCACACCTACCGTTGTAACGACAACCCTGTGCCGCCATTCAAGACGACATCCTTCCATCTTAATACCTCTCGACTTCTCGCTCAACTTGGAAATACCCGAGAACATATTGGTTTTTAAACTATATTTCAATTGTTCAGCACTAAATCTGATTCTCCAATGATTAATGAATTCGATGGGTTGATATCAAAAAGAGGTTTACTCTCAACATCATTTTCTTCTGCTTCTCTACTAATTGGCTCCTTAATAACAACACAAGTTGAGATAATAGCAGCCTTTAAATTCGTTCCACTGTTTCCAATGTCTAATCTAACAGACAGATAGTTATTCAATATCTATTTTTTCTTCTACAAAGATAGTATAGTCCATTAATGAATCTCGCCAAAAGAGAAATTTTGTTGTTTCTGATACCAATCTTTGAGCAATTACAAGAATGCCCTCACAAGTGTTAGGGGTTGAATTTCGGATGAGATATAGGGACCGGATAAAACTTAAGAATCGTGTCGGAAGACACTTCCCGAATACAATAATTTAACCCTATTAGTCTTGGGTTCACAAATTTTGTATTGCGATAATTCTTGAGATTATTCTCTCTTTCAAAGGCTGTGAAACTGAGATATATCTACCCAGATTCTCGGTTTACATATTTAAATGAGAGATCGACGGTTATTGGCGGTTTAGCGATTATAACCGTTAATGAATAAGATCGAAGGATAGTTACAAAAATATCTAAGTTAAGGAATATGCAGGTTTAGCGACAGCCGAAGATTCATGTTCAGCTATGGTCCCAAGTTCAACGATAAATTGGAGATTCAGCGGAAGACAATATCAACGACAACTGAATACACACATTCAGTGATGGCTGAATGATAGCTAAATAGACACGACTTAGCTAAAAAGTATATGATTGTAACAGTATTTTTAATCAAATAATTTATTTCCACATTTTCAAAAAAAAATCACACTGTCTTATCCCTATCCAACCAATTGGACGTAGACAAATCAGAAATTTTATATATTTTAAATTTATTATTATTCAACTTTATTACGAAATAATATATATTACCCTGGACATGTTTTAAGAACATATAATCATATTATCGAACAACCTCAAAATAGGCAAACAGGTAAAAGTAATAAATCACTGGATCAGATACAATAATATTGATTATTGCGTAATTAAAGGCATGAAAATTAAAAATTGTTGATGTAATGCAATTTTATTATCACAATTCAAATAAATAAAAACCAAATATCACAGTTGACAATTATAAGTACAAAATGGATAATACAAGGGATCAAATCAGACATGATTACTTTATTAATTACTTCAACAAAGATGTTCGAAAGCGAAATCGAAGTTAAACTAGATGGAGATGCTGTACGGAACACCCTTTCCGGTCATCCCAGGTTCCGAAAATGGCTTCAGAAGCTCATACGGCACAATCCCGGCGCCACTTCTGTTCCTCAGATTGGGATCACGGTTCCTTGAGTCTATGATACCTTCGAGTTCCTTCAAACTTCCACTGAACTCTTGGAACGCGGCATTTATGGTGGGATCTGCTTCCCATGAAGCCTCTATGTTCACGCCGATGTACTCCTCATCTGGAGAATGAGTTGACAAAACTTCCAAAATGGCCATAACTTTGGTCGATTGAACCTTCGAAGGGAAGCAATCCAATAGCACATCTTCAGGATTAGTTAGGAATGTTTGCCACTCTTCAGAGTTTGGATCTTCATCAGGCATCTTAGTTCTGGCAATGGTTGGCCTGTTGGGGAAATAACCAGCATAATCATACTGACCGAAGTTGACTGCCGAATGGTGGCCAGAAGCCACCCACATGATTGTTGAGACAATTCCAATCAGATCCTGTTGGGTTTTGAGTTGTGGCCACCATGGTTCGTCCTTCTTGTCGCCATGCCCGACTGTTCGGATTTCAGTCCACCATGCTTGTAGCTCTTCATCAGACTCTACAAGGTCTGCTTGTGGGTAGTAGTGGTTGACATAGGTAGTAGCCCATTGTTTGATGGCATCCCAGAGAAGTAGACCATCATTGGCAAATGGGTAGTCCTCAATCCTTAGTTTTATACCATGTGGTGCACTTGGATCTTCAACAGCCATTCCCCTATTGATTATGAAAAATAGAAAATTGTCATTACACCTAATATACCAATACACATGCATAATTGATGATGATATTCTACTAGGTGAGAAGAAGCCCTTTTTTATTATGTACAAGAGGTTCCAAATGTGTTGGGAAAACTTTACCTGCTAATTAGGTCAGCTGGAAGTGCCTCATGATCAAAACGCCATTGTTGAGCATATGCATCAGAAGAAAGTTGCATGGAATATTTTCCTGGAGAGAAAGCTGACTCAATAATACCACCGCCATTAATGAGGGCTAGTCGAGCTAGGCCATTAATCGCCATCGTGTATCTGAGATGAGGACATAGTAGTCTTTCTATAGGGTGCATTTTGCTAAGATGACGATTGGTAGCAATTACATAAGGCTCCATAACGCAATGAGTTCTTAGCCTACAAAGTTGATAAATATCATAGTCAAATGGCTAATCATGAGTTAACTAGAGATCTGAATTGGATTGATTTTATTTTCCTTGATCAGTCAAGCAGGCATGCACTCATACCGTCATACACAAATAGACATAAATATATATAGAGGTTGTGGTGCAAAAAAAAAGTACCCACCAATGGCTAACAAGCTGGTGATAACCAGAGTCATGAGCAAGGACATGAGCCTTGGCTAGCTTCCAGAGCCAGACGCCTGTAGCATCCCAACAGGGTACATAAACATGTTTCCACTGTGGTTTCCCGTTGTTTGGCGGGCGAGTCAATTCAATGGCTAGTGGTCTCAATGTTCCAGTAGATGTGAGAAACATTAACGTTCTTGAACCATAGAGAGTTGTCCCTTCAAGCTCTCTTACTTTATTCACATATGGTAAGAGCAGATCATGGTAATCCAACACAAATAACTTCTTTTGTTCCAATGCCTGCAACGATACTCATTGTATTAGCTATATGCAAGACAAAGGAGGTGAAAAAAATACGTGTTTTGCCTTTTCATTACCTCCTCAAGAGTCATGAAACCTTTGATTTCTTGCTCAACAATTTCTTTAGTAATTGCTGATTCAGGTGGTCCATAAACTTCAGGGTCTAGTTTGCTCATCAATGGCCATTCCTACAAATTTAGATCACAAAATTACTCAACATTCATCCAATTCTTTTCCAAGAAACGTTAGTGAATAACTACTTAATCAATTACATGTACATTTCCATGTAACTTATGATACAAGGCCTGAAAGTAACCAAATCAATTCTTTTAATTATCTTTGAATAGAAGATACTAATTGTCATTTGTTTCACAATTTAGCTCTAAAGCCTGATGCAAAAAGTTTAAGCAGAACGCACCGTGACCAACTGGATGCTATATGGATTGAGACCAGCGAGTGTTTGTCGACAAAATTCCTCATCTCGTAACCAAGAAAAGGAATCCTCTGTAAACCATCAATAAACCACATTAAGCAAAAACATCAAACACACATGCATTCACAATTGGTTGAGATTTTTTGCTTACTGTCCACGATTCGAGGAGTCTCAAATTGAAGTAGACTTTTGGTAGTATTGGCAATATCTTTGAGAAGCATTGGTAAAGCATTTAGAAGTCCATTGTCAGGGAGAACGATCTCAACACCTTCATTGTAAAGTAAATTGATGTTCGTGAATGATGAGAATCCCTTGTTCTCATCCGTAAATACAGAATCTAGCGTTGGTAAAAGTGCACGCAGTACGGAGTACAAGGTCGTGGCCCCAAATGTTATCGCCTTTATCTCTGAAAAATCTTCATCTCTTGGCACATAAAATGGGAGTGTCGTCCTGGACTCCGACAAGGGTTCTGTAATTCCACAAAATTGATTAAATTCACAAAATTGCTTACACCTATTCTAAAACCCCTAAATTCAACGTCGATCGAATACATAGACTATGGATCCTAACTCCATTAGAAATACAGATTAATAAACGGATTTCCAACTCAAAATTGATTAAATTCATATATTATGTGCTAAATATGATGATCCAAAAGGGCTACTAGTTACTGTAATCGGAATTTTAGAAAAGTTAACTAAATTATCAGCATTGAATTTGTTAAACATCTCATTTGTAGAGGCAATAACAAATTATAGATGAACAAGTAATATTAAAACCTAATAAATGGATTCGAACTAGAGTAGTGATATGAGATAAATGAAGTGTTCGTACCAGTGGAGGTCCTTTCGCGACCAGTTCGGCCACGCCTAGGGTAAGGATATTTCTGGCCGCCGAGCACCGGTCGAGACAGATCAGAGCTACTATCGGGATCACCGAGATCATTATACGTATCGTAATCGTAAATCCTCTCAAAAAATTCGCGTTGTCCTTCACCGTTGCCTCGAAGAGATTCTAGATCTTTCTCTCTCAACGACTTCAACCCCGCCGGCGTTTCCGATGGTAGATACGACTGTTTCACTCAGACGACACAAACTAATTAGCATTCGGATAATTGGCGGTTCGCATATGTGGTTAAATTACATTCTTCGTGCCTATGGTTTGTTAAAAATTACTATTTCAGTCCCTTTCAAGTACGAATTTATAGTTTTAATCCCTGTGATTTGCAATATTTGTTGTTTTCGTCTCTATCATATTATTGTTTTCTCATTCATATGGTTTATAATTCTTTTATGTTTTCGTCCCTAAAGATAAAAGTTAGAGGTCGTTTACCAAACACTTACTTGATAACCGTTTAGTTTACTGGTAAAATTTAACATTATTACTTACTTACCAGGTAAAATTTTAGTCATCAAAAACGACATTGTATGAAACGATTTTACCCAATAAGCACCTCGACTTTTGGTCATTATCTCGTTTTTACCAGGTAAGATTCTTGATCTTTGTATCATCATTCGGTAAGGTAATGAGACTCGATAAACACTTATATAGATTTATCATCTCATTATACATTTAAAAATATATATAAGATAATAATTCAACCTCATTGACGTAAATAAATTTAAAAAAAATCATTTCTCTCATCCAATCAAGTTTAGGGAGTTCTCTAAACTTGAAGTTTCGTCTTATTTTCTCTATTTTATAAAATCTGTTAGAAATGCAGCATGCTACTAGTTGGTTGCTATTCTAATATTCTTTTGTGACAAATTTCACGGTAACGGTTTCACTAAATTTCGAATTTAACTGTTGAATCTTACAAATCATAATAAAGATAAAATAAGATATTTTGAGATAGACGACCTTGTCAGTGAAGAAGATTCTTTGCTCGGGATTATCATGCTTCGAGTGAATCCAAGATTCACAAGTAAAAGTGACGTTGCCATCGTTAAGAACAATGTTCTTGAGATATACTTCTTTATGAGGCTCGTTTTGTACCAATATTGCCCCTATTTCTCCAAATTCCATGGGAACTTCAAACTCACACTTGTATTCGTACATTTTAGTCTCGTCATTCAATTCACTGTAACTTGCATACGCCTTCACCGTCCCCTTCTCTTTACCCGACGCTTCATAAACATATAAAAACAAACAATTTGATTAAAAAGTGGTTCAATCAACATTTATCTTATGATATAAAGAATTAATAGGTTGTGTTATCTGAATTCCTTTTATGTATTAATAAAAACGTCTATTTCCATGTGTTATATATATATATATATATATATATATATATATATATATAATATGCCCTTAATTGAATTTTGATAAAACTGAAACCGAATTGTTTGAAGTAATTTTTTAGTTATATATAAATTGAAATCAAATAAATGATTGTACAATGCATTTTCATGAATTATTCGCTAGATGAAACATACATATTGTGTCTATTGTCAAGTTTATGACAGTAGAAACAAACATATTTATTTCTAGTAATTCTAATTTACATGCATAAATTATAACTCGTGAACTCCAAAACACATACTCAAAACATAAAAGTTATAATATTTTTGAAACATTTTTTTGGTACAGACTAGTTAATAAATGAATACTCACAGTCAAGATCAGCAGCAACAAGCTCGAGCAAAAATGATCGTCCTAGAAACTGAGAGATGCTATCAACCACCGATGCTATAGGACCAACAGTCACATTGGCTAGCACTCCGTTAATGGTTGGTTGAACACTAAGGATGCCTTTCACTTTTGTGGATTTTCGAGCAGAAGATGAAGACATGGCTTTTACGTTACCGAAGGTGCAATGTATTTCAAATATAAATACGTAAAATGGTTGGCCAAAAGTGGCGAAGGGAGTAGGTGATGGAGGCAGAGAAAAAGATGATTTTTCAACGAATTATTTGGTTGAAGGTTTACAACATGAAATGAGACAAAGTCTTTATTTATAGGGAAGTTGTGGTCCCAAAAATTGAAGCATGTGGAACATTAAGCTTTTCTTTAAATGGTATATTTATGTAATACTGCGAGATATCGTTTTATGATAAATCCAGAATGATAGATTAATGCAATTTTTTTATTAAAAAATTGAAAACCTAAAATTTAAGAATATTTTGTTATATTAACAGGGATCGATGTTTATCTTGTATAATCTTGAGAGCCAACTCAATACATAAATAAAGGTTAGGCCTTGAAACCCATTCCCACTGGTCGTCAGTTTAAGCCTCCTCTGGGTCATTTCGGATTTTTTTGGTTGTTTTCTTCGAGGTCTTATGGGATTCGTTGAGGTGTGCGCAAGCTGACCTGGACCACCACAGCTACAAAATATGTGAACTTGTTTACTATTTGGTTTTATGAAGTCAAAATGTAGATCTTTAAAAAGTTGTACGTATTAAGTAATAAGTTGAAAACTTGATTCTTAAGATTTTATGCATTAAGAAACACTATGAGGGTACTCGTGCAATGCATCGATACACATTTACATTTCAATGTTTCGTTTTATTTTTTATCCATGTCGATATAATACAATTTTATGTGGTTTTGAGAAAGCGATAATGTTTTTATTTTTGAATAAAATATAAATTTGAAAATATTACATAAAATTTGCAAAAAATATATCAATATTAATATCAAATTATCTAATTAAAAGTTCTTGTTTGTTTATTTTTTTTAATTCAAAATTTTTATTATAATTTAATTTAACGTAACAAATTAACTTAATTTAGGTTTAATAATATTTTTTTATAAAGATAATAATTAAGTATTCTGTTAGAATCAATAATTATTCTAATTATATTTTAGATTTTTTATATTTTAAAATGAGATGTTTATCCTCTATTTGATTACGTTTATCCGCAGTTAGTTACACGAATTCAAACATAGAGCTTTAATAAGTTGTACTTATACACAATTTACTTGTAATCTTGAATTTTAAGTAACATGCATTAATAAACAGTACTTTATGCATAAAAAATGTTTTAAAGAGTTTTTGTCAAATGCTTTATAATGCATTAAGAAACATTACATAATGCTTATTAAGTTGTTATTAAGAACTTTTACCAAATTCTGTATAATGTAGTATAGATTTAGAGAATTATGCATCTATAAAGGTTAAAAATGTCATCGTTGATAGATTCAGACCTATCAGATATGAGATTTTGATTTGATATTTTCAAATAATTATAGATGAGTTTCGATCTTTTAAAATAAAGAGAATGTGCCCATTCTAAAAGTATCATAGACTTTTCCGATTGTGGATATATCCAAAACCTACGGTTTACATTATAGACTTCTCGAATTAGGCATGTCATAGACTTTTCAAGTTATAGACTTTTTGAATTATGAAATTAAAAAAGGCATTTAATATCGTAGACTTTTCGAAATATGAACCATAAAGCATCTATTTTAAAAAGCATTATTTAAGAACGCCACTTAAAGACATATATCTAAACGTAAACCATTAATTAAACAACTTTGAGACTGTACATGATTTTATAGATTTTTCTAATTGTAAACCATTATACGTTCATTTTAAAAGTATATTCTCGAAAATGGTAATTGAATGAAAAACAATTATTTTAGACGTAATTTGGGGTTTTAGACAAATACAAGTGGGAAATAGACGAGTCTCTTTTTGTGTCCTCTTGTTGGTGATAACATCTTATCATTTTTTGAACGGTATAGAAATGTTCGATTTTAAGATTGTATTAACACGTTTAGGTGTTGGCTCGTTATTCAACTCATTCAACATGGCATTGACTGAAGACCTATAGTATCATACCCGACAGGTTTGGATTTTTTTGGTTAGCTTCGGCGAAAATTTGTTTTCTATTTTTATTTTTTTGAATATTTATTAAAAAGGGTCGCAAATTATTTGGAAATAACCAAAAGTATTAAAATAATTTAGCAAATCGTAAATTTGTGCTCCAAGTTTTTAACTAATTTTCATACAATTGGCAGTTTGCACGAACTTTTCAACCATGGATTTGGAACCAAACAAACATTGAACAACTTAGGTGGCGTTCCGTTCATAAAATAGAATTAGTTAAAATTAAAATTTGTTATGGGAGTTGAAAGTTGAAGAAATTGGAATGAAATTTAATCATGTTTAACTATGCGTTTGATTGGCATGAATTGGAATGATATCCATCAAAACAATTTGAATCTGTCAATTTGGTTTATTGAATAGAATAGTGGTAGTGGGGGTTGTTTGTATACCTCTTAATAGTTTCATTAAGAGGCAACATCTGAATCATTAAGAGTTGAATCTTGTTTGACAAAAAAAAGTCTGTCACTTAATGGTTTCAAAATTCTCTGAATGGTTTTGTATMATGGACCTCCCTTAACCATTAAGCGTCCTAATTTTATTGTAAACAATTACCAAACAATTATATTTCATTTTTTACTATATAATGAGAGCTTCTTAATTATTCTGATCACTTAATCATTCTGCACCAAATCATTCAACAACTGACAAACAATCCCTTACATTTGATCCAAATAACATATATGCGAAGAATCATATGAGAAGGGAAGTTATGGTAAGAAGTGTAAAAAGAAATCTGAACCCTTGATCACTTTTAATCTTATATCAACCCATGAATTGCACTTTAGAAGAAAATTAATCTTGTGCATCTCGGTGCACCTCATTAATGTTGGCATTCAATTAAAATCGATCCAAGGATGAATATCTCTTTTTACGCTTCTCATCATAGCTTTCCTTCTCACCGAAACCCAATCCATAGTATATAATAACATATTTTATTTTTAATTTACAAGAAATATTCAAATATTTTATCTCTCTAGACTTTACTTATGAGTGAGATATATAGAATACATACCGCAATTTCATTTATCTTGTGAATATGTGTTTACCACTCAATCTATTTTATTATATTATACCAAATAACTAATTCCATTCGAGATTAAAAAAAACTATCTCATTGGAGTATGACAGGATAACATAGTTTTTTATAATAAGATTTTATTTTAAACGTACTTTTAAGCCATTACTAATCAGGGGAAATTAGAGCTTCTTGCTTAATGAGGCCCTCTCAGGCTTAAACCATCATTATATATTTATCTTATTTTTCTTTCTCTACGCCGTAGTGCTTATCACAAGTCTTAATCCATGATATGGATAACTACTTAGGTTAAATATGGTACTCAAAAATTGATCGATACGATACTGGTTGATGTATTTTGGGTTTTGCATCAAGCAACATTGATTCAATTACTGCTACACGGGAACTCAATTAACTCTAGTTTGCTCTTAGGTATAGGTATAACTTTTAAGACAAATATTTCGTTGCATTCAGCTTCAAAAGTCAACGTATTTATTTCTTATAATGATGTTTTGAGTCACGAAATCATAAACACGATATCGTCAATTCCAGTGACCATTTGTTGTCCAATAAGCCATGTTAAAGATTTTAGGCAATAAAGATCACATTAATACATGAAATAATTGAGCTCACATAAGTCTTAAATGATAATCACATTAATTACGTGTTCGCTTTAAACACAGAAATCGTATTATATGATTTGATAACAATTTTAAATCTATACTGTTTTTAGTAACTTTATCAAGTGCTTGGAGTGTACCAGCACATGGAGGAGGCTACTATACCACTAACGTTTGATGTCATACTAGGCTGGTTTTTCCTATTACTATTTTATTCAATATTTTTAACCTAATTAATTAACAAGATTCGTATAAAATATATTCTATTACGTGATCCAGATAAAAATGAATTATGTTTCTATACCCTTCAATTTTTCTAGTTAATAGAAGTGTTTATTTTTTTTAATATAAAATTAAAAGTCATATAAAAAAGAAATTTATAATCAGTTTATAAAATTTATACTATTTCATAGATTTTTTAACCGGATGATGTTATATACATCCGTTTTATATCAGAATCAGATCAAATCATGTATTAAGAATGTAAAATATCAGTCTTGATTTTTAAGGTAAAATAAAGAAAATTAGTAGATAAATTATTTTGCATATAATGGTTACTTTAAATCAACAAGTTATCGACCTTACGTAAATAAAGTGGTGCTGATAAGCATCAGGCCGTTGCTATCGCGTAAGGTTTCGTCAAAAATGAAGGCACATATTTATGATGCATTTAATATAGTATTTATGGTTAACAATGATTCGTTTATAAATGTTATTAAATAAAATCAACCGTTAGACAAATGTTTTTGTTAAGGTTATATAAATGTATAATTAACTCAATCATGTATATTTGTTACATGGTTTTTCTTTTATTCTCTATATTTGTTAAAAGAAAAACGCTTAAAAGTCTAGAGAATTACTTGATCGTATCCTAAAACTCGTTATGATATTTTTTTCAGACTTGCAATGGTTTAAAACTGGAGGAAATCGATCCGTCTGGAACAAGGATTAATAGATTTTGAAATTACTGAGATAGTGATATTCTACAAGGTTGTGGTATCGATCCTGGTCCTCTGATGATGGACCAAAATATACCAGTAATAAAGTACACGATACTGATGGTTGCATTGTGTTGTTGTTATATTGATTATGTATGATAAATTCTAATGTTTATACTTGTAATGTTCAAACCATCTCAAGAGCTACTCTTTGTAATTCTACTTCTATTTGAAATAAGCATGTTATAAGATGCTACCATTAATTGTGAAAATATAATAGTTTATGAAGGTTCTGCTAATTTAGAAAGTTAAGGGGTTGAATTGGAATTTTTTTTAACCAGCAGTCGAAATAAGAAAAGAAAATAGAGATAATGTGAAAAAGGGATCTTAAAAGGTTCTTTTAATTTATAGCTACCTCCAAAAAATTACACAAATATTTCACAAACCAAAAAAAGTTAGTTATTTAATTTATTTTATATTTTTTTCGTTTTTTTTATTTTACATTTTTATTATATTGATATACATAATCATATATTGACTAAAATATATAAAATATATGTTTCCTTTTTTAAAAATTACATCATTATAATTGTTTTCGGTAATACATTCAAAATGAATCTAAATATTAAATATTTTTGGATTTAATATTATATTATTAAATATTATTTATATTTACGAATTATTTTTAATATTTACATTTTATACTCTTATAATTACAAATTAAATAAAAAATTATCAGGATAGAAAATGTAAATTTTAAAAATAATCCGTACACATTTATGATATTTAATATTAGTTCCGTTTTGAACGTATTTATGAAACAATTATAATGGTGTAATTTGTGAAAAAAGAAATATTCTATTTATTTATTTTAGTTAATATATTAATATAATAAATATGTAAAATAAAAATTAAAAAAATAAGAGATATAAAATAATTAAATAATTAATTATAAAAATGTAAAATATAATTATATTTAATGGATTAGAAACTTTACCCCTTTTTTGTACGTAAACTCCTCATTTTCCTTTTAGTAAAGTAAATTGTTAATTTTTTTTTTTTGCCAAAATATATTTTACGCAGAAAATCTATTTTTTGCATAAAGCTTTTTTGTATAAATTTTAGCTATTTAAGGAAAATGATTTTAAGATGACTAAAAAATAAAATCATTTTAACGATTTGAATATTTATGTAAATTTTACTAATGTTTCAAGACTAACAAAAATAAATAAGACTAATGAATTAAGCTGTGTTTCTTGCTACTTAACCATTGATTATCAATGTCTTAATCTTATTAGCAAACATCAGACTTCACAATTATTAGTACAAAGGTGCGAATGGAGTAAACATGGATCAAATCAGACATGATTAAGTTTTTTATTTATTTCAACAAAGATGGCTGAATGTGAGACCTGAAGTTAAATTAGATGGAAATGCTGTATGGAACACCCTTTCCCGTCAGCCCAGGTTCAGAAAATGGCTTCAGAAGCTCATACGGCATCAACCCTGCTCCATTTCTGTTTCTCAAATTGGGATCATTGTTCCTCGAGTCTATGATGCCCTCCACCTCCTTCAACATTCTATTCAACTCCTGGAACGCGGCCTTTACAACCGGTTCTGCCTCCCATGCAGCCTCCATGTTGACGCCGATGTACTCTTCGTCTGGAGAATGAGTTGACAAAATCTCCAAAACGGACATTACTTTGGTAGCTTGAACCTGCGAAGGAAAGCAATTCAGTAGCACATCCTCAGGATTCTTTAGGAATGCTTGCCACTCTTCAGCTGTGGGATCTTCATTGGGCATTTTAGTTCTGGCAATGGTGGGTCTGTTGGGGAAATAACCAGCATAATCATACTGACCAAAGTTGACTGCTGAATGGTGGCCGGAAGCCACCCACATGATTGTTGAGACGATTCCAATCAGGTCCTGTTGGGTTTTGAGTTGAGGCCACCATGGTTCGTCCTTCTTGTCTCCATGCCCGACTGTTCGGATTTCAGTCCACCAAGCTTGAAGCTCTTCATCAGACTCTACAAGGTCTGCTTGTGGGTAGTAGTGGTTGACATAGGAAGTAGCCCATTGTTGGATGGCATCCCAGAGAAGTAGACCATCATTGGCAAATGGGTAATCCTCAATTGCTAGTTTTAAACCATGTGGTGCACTTGGATCTTCAACAGCCATTCCCCTATTGATTATGAAAAATAAAAATCAATCACTACACCTGATATACCAAAACACATATGCATAATTGATGTGATATTCTGCAAGGCGAGAAGAAGCCCTTTTTATGACGTACAAGAGGTTCCAAACATGTATTACCGACTAATTAGGTCAGCTGGAAGTGCCTCATGATCAAAGCGCCATTGTTGAGCATATACATCAGAGGAAAGTTGCATGGAGTATTTGCCAGGAGAGAAGGTCGACTCAATAATACCACCGGCATTAATGAGGAGTAGTCGAGCCAGGCCATTAATCTCCATTGTGTACCGGAGGTGAGGAGATAACAGTCTTTGTATAGGGTGCATTTTGCTAAGGTGACGGTTCGTAGCAATTACGTAAGGCTCTGTAACGCAATGAGTTCTTAGCCTACAAAGTTGATAAATACCTTAGTCAAAATGGGTAATCATGAGTTAACTTGAGATTTGAAGTGCAATAATTGTAATTTCCTTGATCAGCCAAGCAGGCATGCATTCACACACAAATAGACATCAATTAATACAGAGGTTGTGGTGCGAAAAGAAGGTACCCACCAGTGGCTGACAAGCTGGTGATAACCAGAATCATGAGCAAGGACATGAGCCATGGCTAGCTTCCAGAGCCAGACGCCTGTAGCATCCCAACAGGGTACATAAACATGTTTCCACTGTGGTTTCCCGTTGTTTGGCGGGCGAGTCAATTCAATGGCTAGTGGTCTCAATGTTCCAGTAGATGAGAGGAACATTAACGTTCTTGAACCATAGAGAGTTGTCCCTTCAAGCTCTCTTACTTTATTCACATAAGGTAAGAACAGGTCATGGTAATCCAACAAGAATAACTTCTTTTGTTCCAATGCCTGCAATGATACTCAGTGTAGTAAGTAAATGTTTGGAAGCACTCTGGAGGTGAAAATAATACATGTTTTGCTTTTGCATTACCTTCTCAAGAGTCATGAAACCTCTAATCTCCTGCTCAACAATTTCTTTGGTAATTGCTGATTCAGCCGGTCCATAAATTTCAGAGTCTAGTTTGCTAATCAGCGGCCATTCCTACATATTTAGATCACAAAATTGGCTCAACACTCATCCAATTCTTTTCCAACAAACATTAGCAAACAACTACTTAATTAGCTACAAGGTTTCTTACAAGGCCTGAAAGTAATTTATGAAATCAGTCTCTTTTGAACTATAAGGTTCCATTTGGTTTGCCAGATTTCAGAGGATTTAGATTTGAATTTCGTTATGTTTGGTTTGAAGGAATGCTTGTGATTGAAATCCCAATATTTCATTGAAACCCTGCAAACATGGGATTTAGAAATCCCATGGGGTAGTTGGTATTTCATGGGATTTGATAAGATTTGTTTGTAATAATGTTTTATAGTATGTTAAAAACACTTGTTTTCTAACAATCAATTAATAAAAAGTAATTCAATTATTTTTATAATTTTTATTTTATAAAGAATGGAATTCGATCCCATTTCCAAATCCTACAAACCAAACACCCAAGATCTCAAATCTTTTCCCAAAATCCATCTCTCAAAAAGCTTGGTGTTAGAAGAACATACCTTGACCAACTGTATGCTATATGGATTAATACCAGCAAGTGTTTGTCGACAAAATTCCTCATCTCGTAACCAAGAAAAGGAATCCCCTGTAATCACAACCATCAACAAACCACATAAAGCAAAAACACAGATGCATACACGTGAGTTGGTTGAGATGTCTTACTTACCATCCACAATTCGAGGAGTCTCAAATTGCAGTATAGTTTTTGTATTATTGGCAACTTCTTTGAGAAGCCCTGGTAAAGCACTAAGAAGTCCATTGTCAGGGAGAACGATCTCAACACCGTCACTGTAAAGTAAATTGATATCCGTGAATGATGAGAATCCCTTGTTCTCGCCCGTAAATGCCGAATCTATCGTTGGTTCAAGTGCATGTAGTACGGAGTAAAAGGTCGTGGCCCCAAACGTTATCGCCTTTATCTCTGAAAAATCTTCGTCTCTCGGCACATAAAATGGGAGCGTTGTCCTCGATTCCGACCAGGGTTCTGTAATTCCACAAATCTCATCAGTTCATTCATTGCTTACACCTATGCCAGAAACCCTAAATTCATTGTTGATTGAATAGATGGAACTATGGATCCTAACTCCATCAGAAATACAAATTAATAAGCGGATTTCCAACTCAAAATTGACTAAATTCACATATTCTATGCTAAAAATGATCATCTAAAAGGGCTACTACTTAAACATCTCATTTGCAGATACAATAACAAATTATACAATGCTTATTTCAAAATGAGCAAGTAATATCAAAACCTAAAAAGTAAATTTCGAACAAGAGTAGTGATATGAGACAAATGAAGTATTTGTACCTGTCGAGGTCCTTTCGCGACCAGTTCGGCAACGCCTAGGGTATTGATATTTCTGGCCGCCGAGCACCGGTCGAGCAAGATCAGAGCTAGTATCGGGATCACCGAGATCATTATACGTATCGTAATCGTAAATCCTTTCAAATGATTTGCGTTGTCCTTCACCGTTGCCTCGAAGAGACTCTAGATCTTTCTCTCTTAAAGACTTCAACCCCGCCGGCGTTTTCGATGGTAGATACGACTGGTTCACTCAAACGATACAGACTAATCAGTATTCAGCTCGTGCATCATCGGTGGTCGCCGGTCGGTTCCACCACCACAACCACACCTTAGCAGCTCACGGCGCGGGACGCAAGCAGGTTTCGAAATAAAGTACACTAGTTTTTTTTTTTTTTTTTTTTTCCAAATTAACTTCAAAGAAAATGGATAATTTTTAAAATAGAGAATTTTAGAAATATTATATAAAATGGATAGTTTTACATCTTAACTCCTTGATGTGTCAGTTATTCAGAATCTCTCTTCAACAGATTGATTTAGGGGGTTGAATTACGAAATTTTTAAAATTTTAATTTTAATTTTTAAATTTATACTTTATATTTCTATAATTAGTTAATTAATTTACTTTACATCTCTTTCTTTTAAATTTTTTATTTTACATATTTATCAAATTAACATACATAATCGTATATCAATTAAAACATGTTTAAAAAATATATTTTTATTTTAATAAATTACACCATTATAATCGTCTCGTTAATACCTTCAAAATGAGCTCAATATTGAATAGTTTATGACTTAATTATATTATTATATATTTTATAAATTATGCAAAAATATTTTTAATATTTACACTTTATACTTTTATAGTTATTTATTTAATTTATGATACATCATTTATTTTTTCAATTTTCGTTTTACACCATTATCATATTAAAATACATAATTTTATATTAGCTAAAATTAGATCTAACAACGAAATTAACCTCTCAGGAAGCATTTTCATACAATTTATTAATATTAAATATTTTTTATATGATATATATTACAAAAGAATATTTCTATCACTTACACTTTAAACCATTATATTTATGTAATTTTTGAGTACATCCTTTACTTTTTCATTTTTCGTTTTACATTTTTATCACATTAACATACATAATCGTATATTAAACTAAAATACATTAAAAAAATATTTTTATTTTAACAAATTACACTATTATAATTGTCTCGTCAATACCTTCAAAATAGTAAAAAAATTCAATTATACGACCATAATAATATAAATATAACAAGGATATAAAATAAAAAAGAAAGAAAACAAAGAAACTTAATAATCTATACTATATTATAAAACATTTGACAAAAACTCTTAAAAACCATTTTTGATGCGTAAAGTACTATTTATTGATGCATATTATTTAAAACTCAAGATTGCAAGTAGATTGTGCGTATGTACTGTTTATTGATGCATATTACTTAAAACTCAAGATTGCAAGTAGATTGTGCGTAAGTACAACTTATTAAAGCTTCATATTTGAATTCATGTAACTAACTGCAGATAAACATGGTCAAATACAGGATAAACATCTCATTTTAAATATAAAAAATCTAAAATATAATTAGGATAATCATTGAGTTATAACAGAATACTTAATTGTTATCTTTATAAAAAATTATATTATTAAAACAAAAATAAATTACTTCGTTATTAAACTTAAATATAATTACAGAAATTACATAAAAACTGAGAACTTTTAAATAATTGATTTGATATTAACATTAATATTATTTTTTTCAAAATTTTATGATATCTTCAAATTTATATTTTATTCGAAAATAAAATCATTATTGTTTTATTAAAAACACATAAAATCGTATTATAACATCGACAGAGACAAATAATAAAATAGAAAATTAAAATCGATATCTGTCTCGCTGTATTGCGCGAGTACTCTTCTAGTATTTTTAAAGGTATTAAGTGTATATATAAAAAATCATATACAAATATAAAATTTAAAAATACGTATTTTTAATACTTTATTAATTAATAACAATATAGAATTAATTAATTTATATAATTATTAGAAGAACTAGTATTTTTAGTATTTAAT